GAAAGAGATGAATGCCCATAAATGGGACTGTACGTAAATTATATAGTACGACGCAAGTAGATTTGCTATGGGAGATTAATCTTAAAATATGTTTTCCACTTTCCTCCTCTCTTACCCATAGAAAAAGTCCTCAGCCTCAAGAAGTTTCCTCCATTTTGGTGTAGAAATATATTTGTAGACAGGAAGTGAAAATTTCAACAGTCCGGATAAATGAAACATGACTTTATTGGCGTTGACCATCGCCTGGGCCCTTTCTTCGTTGTCACTTCCGCTTAAGCAACCCAGTCTCGTTTCAAAGCATACTACTCCCGCAGCTGGAAATATTGAAGACACATGTGACATTTATTCTAAAGAAGACTGCAAATGTAAAATAAAAAAATTCTACTAAACTCCTCCAACAGAGTTAAATAAATAAAATGTAGCGAGACTGCGAGGGGCCAAATTCTGTTCTAATGAAGGGGAAAATACAAAGTTTTCTATGCCACTAAGGAATGCCAATACATTTTTACAAAGAACTACTAAATACTTTACATTCTTGGGACCATTTTGCAACTTCATCTGGGAGATCTTCAACTTCTCCATTCTCTCCCCTCTTTCTCTTAACGTGTTCCACGAAATCAGTCGCAACTTCTTGCACCAATGGCAGATAGTAGTGGACTTCGCTTTTCCGAAGCATCATTTGGCGGACTGCGCTCCGTAACCTGTGCCATTCATCTCCATTCCTAGACATTAAATAGTTATAATTGAAAATCAAATCCAAATTTGAATCCTATCAATTTCAATTCTGACTGAATAAAATATACAAAACATGACTTAAAATTTGCTACTTCAGTTTTCAGAAAACTTACAGGTTTAAGACATTAATAAGAAAAAAAAACCTTTTAAAGGTCCTACATACATTAGCTGTGCATTTTCATTGCCTGTGGGTTCAATCTCCATTTTAATCATGTTTATATATTACCAAATATATTTTTACAGTCAACCTGATTGTCTTGAAGCAAGACGTACTCACACTCAGCATGTACTGGGTTCAATGCTTTGTCAGACTCTTCAATGTATAGACTTATACTGAAACTCATTCTTCGGAAATTTAAATAACAATGAATCAGCCATCAATCACACAATCATCCCAAGATTACAGTCAAATATCTCCCATTAGGGCTCCTATTATAGAAACCACTTCATCCACAAATTTGTTATAGAATTATTTGACGATTCATAAAATGTCCTCCAATTCTGTTTCATTTATTCGCAGGGAAGTTCATACTTACACATTTCCTAAGCCAAGGGACATATTCCGTGTCTGCCTGTACAACTGTGCTGTTTCCTGAAGAGGAACGACGTGTGGCATTGTTCCTTCATTTATGTAAACAGTCCTTATATCCTCTGGGTCAAAAATATGAATAATTGTCCCATTCCCCAAATCCTGTCTCACCAAAGGCCCGTACTTTTCATAAAGGTCTTCCAGTACTTTGTGATATCTGTCGATTTTGTACTTGCCTAAAATACAAGAACAGGGTCGCTGTGAATTTACAATTAAAATCAGAGCCGAGCTCTCAAAAATCAAATACGACACGTTACAGTACAGAAAAGCAATCTGCTTAATTACAGTACATTCCCTTCAATAACTTTCAACTAACAGAGCAGAAGTGGTTATAAAAGAAAGTCCAGCATTAAACAAAAGTTTAAATGACGATACAGAGCAGAAGTGGTTATAAAAGAAAGCCCAGTGTTAAACAAAAGTTTAAATGACGATTTGCAATGTTTAATATCACCAAACTAGAAAGAGTTGACCTAATGGCTTAAAGATTCAGTAGACCTCTCAGTGGGAATCTTATAGCTTATAACACGAATTAAACAAATTAATAATGAGTTACGTGGTTCATAACCCCAGACAATCCATTGCTTAGGCAGGCAAGAAAACAGGGGGAAAAAAATGTATTGCCTTTCTATTCAGAATAGGTTATGGAAGTACATTTTTATTTATCCTTCTCCAGACCTAAATTTTGGATCAAGTATATGTTTCCTTTCCTTGTATAGAGACTTACAATGAAAATTTTTACACAGCTAGATAACCTACCAAACTTATACTGGTACAAATTTCCAATTATGGGTAACCTCACTGGCCCTGGTATGTCTTTGAAGGGTTTTATTTTTTTAGAACCTGCAATATTAATATTCTTTGAAAAAGATGACAGGGATCTTGCAGCTTTAAATATTGCGCAGTTATTAAAATATCTAGAATATATAATCGCCATGTTCTGTTACGTGAAACCTGGAAAGGAGAAAAATTCAGCTCAGCTTCATCAATGCAGGGTGGCATGTAATGTGTGTTGAAACTTGAAATGTGTTAAAAACTAATTTTTTAAAAGAAATCTGAACTTGGTACGTACACATTTTAAACTCACTTTGTAAACGTGAAGTATCTTATACCAAGGAATAATCCTCACAAACCCTGTCACTATCAGAGCTTCATTAAGATGTCTGTAAGCCAAAACGAAATATAAACATATACCGAAGATTCAAAGTCCATCATCCTATTTGATATCAAACT